CAGCCCAGTCATCCCCCCCAGGTGTACGAACCTGTCTACGCCACTGCAATATATTCATGTTAACCACAAACACATACTTTCATGTTATCAGCAAAACTAGTCTTGCTTGTTATAGGAAGCGAATAAGTTTTTAAATACAATGACATTATGAGAATAAGATATTTGTTTTAGAATCTTTAAATATAAATATCAGATAAATCTTTAGTACTTAATAAAGACTTCTTCTGGAAACAATTTTGCGGTGTAATGTAGTCTAGACATAGGGTTGATGATTAATCATAACTTTTGTTTATGTTAAATGAAAAATAACTCTTTTAGATGTATTTACTATTTAGAGGGTAAAAACTTAAAGTACAACAAACTATGATTTTCAGGGTCTACGTTATGTAAAAAAGTGTATTGAGTAATTGTTATGGAGCTGTCACGGGAACATGATGATTCTAGTTTATCCTCTTGAACTCTCCCATCTGAAAAACACTAGTGCATGGATGATATTCTTCAATGTGATACTTGTAACAAACTCCATTAATTCCTGCCTGGAACATTGTCTTCATGTGTTTGACAAGTGGCTTGGTGTAAAAATGTCAGAGGTAATACTGTCATAGGTAAAAAAAAATGTCAGAGGTAACAATGTCAGAGGTATTACTGTCATAGGTAAAAATAACGGAGGTAAAAATGTCAGAGGTAATACTGTCAGAGGTAAAAATGTCAGAGGTAATACTGTTATAGGTAAATATGTCAGAGGTAATACTATCATAGGAAAAAAAATATTTGAGGTAAAAATGTCAGAGGTAATACTATCATAGGTAAAACTGTCAGAGGTAAAAATGTCAGAGGTAAAAGTGTCAGAGGTAATAATGTCAGAGGTAATACTGTCAGAGGTACTAATGTCTGAGGTAATAATGTAAGAGGTAATACTGTCAGAGATAAAAATGTCAGAGGTAAAAATGTCAGAGGTTAATACTGTCAGAGGCAATACTATCAGAGGTAAAAATGGCAAAGGTTATACTGTCAGAGGCAATAATGTCAGAGGTAAAAATGTCAGAGGTAATACTGTCAGAGGTAATAATGTCAGAGGTAATAATGTAAGAGGTAAAATTGTCAGAGGTAATACTGTCAGAGATAAAAATGTCAGAGGTAAAAATGTCAGAGGTTAATACTGTCAGAGGCAATAATATCAGAGGTAAAAATGTCAGAGGTAATACTGCCAGAGGCAATACTGTCAGAGGTAATACTGTCAGAGGCAATAATATCAGAGGTAAAAATGTCAGAGGTAATACTGTCAGAGGTAAAAATGTCAGAGGTAAAAATGTCAGAGGTTAATACTGTCAGAGGCAATATTGTCAGAGGTAATAATGTCAGAGGTAAAAATGTCAGAGGTTAATACTGTCAGCGGCAATAATATCAGAGGTAAAAATGTCAGAGGTAATAATGTCAGAGGTAAAAATGTCAGAGGTAAAAATGTCAGAGGTAATAATGTCAGAGGTAAAAATGTCAGAGGTAAAAATGTCAGAGGTAATACTGTCAGAGGTAATAATGTCAGAGGTAAAAATGTCAGAGGTTAATACTGTCAGAGGTAACAATGTCAGAGGTGATCTCTGTCAGAGATAGATTGAAATGTAGACGAGAAATTCCAGATTGAGAAATTACCACTCATCACTTAGGAAAGTAGCTACCATAAACACAGAGATAACTATCACTTTCCAGACAAAGGAACACTTCTCAAAAGCGAATAGAATACTTTTAGGATTTCTTCAACACTCATCATTTCCTTCATAACGAAATTCTGAACTTAAATGAGAACTCTTTAAATATGATGTCATATATGTCATTTTTCAATGCGTTTTTTAATTTTTATTGTACATTGAATAGAGATTGCAGGTACCCATATCAGGCAAGCACGACAAAACATACATTACATTGCAACAACAAAAAAGATAACAAAAACAAAACAACAAACAACAGCATGAGGATAATACGTGTCCCATAAAATGACAGCATTCATAAACACCAGGGGAAAAATAATAGCACAATATTGAATAAGAAAACTCAATCAATTGGTTAAAACCTATTTGAACATTAGAGCAAATTTCAACCCCACCCCCACCTCCCCCCTTCTTGTCTTCATAGTCAACATCTCATCATCGTTGTAAAGAGAGAGGGTAAATTATATATGTACCAGTATAATCTCTATACACATTTAAGCAAAACTAATACTAGATTAACAAATTGTAATGTGACCTTCCCAAATCTATTTCCCTAATTTATGGATTTTTAGGTTTACTTTCAAGAATACAATTTGCATGTTCTCATTACGAAGCAATTGGGCATGATTGTAAATGAATAAAATTCAAAAACGAAAATTGAGAGAAGACAGTCCTTATGCTGTAACATACAAATTGTTGAAATTAGGAAATATTTTCCCATTTTGAAACAGAGAACCCTGGTTTTACTTTTAGACTGTAAAAAATTAAAATGCAATATCATGTAAAACATTACAACATGTTTACAGGAACTAAATATTGTGAATTCAATTTTTACAGCCATGCATTTGTATGGTTTGATGAATACAGTCTAAATTGTATTTTTAACATTTAAACGTCAAAATATCAACACAAATTATGATTTCAAGGTGATGGAATGTTTCTCATTTATCAGAGGAATATATAATCAAAACATTTGAAGGAATACTTCCTAAATTATTTCATGACTTAATAAATAAAAAGCCAAGATGTTACGATGTACATAAAGGTCATAAGAACAACACAATTGAAAAGACTATCAAGAAATTAATATTAACTTACATTGCAAGGGCAATTTCAATACCCTATCATATTGGCAATAGAAATCACATTCAAATTAAAGGGATCGTTTAACAATGTTAAATCTGAGATACACGACCCTACGTGTTATCAGTGTCTGTGATATGGTGTAATATTGAAGCCCTAAAAAAAATGCGCTTCAAAATGATCAAGAAGTGCCTCAAAAAAGTAAAAATCTTTGAGTGACCGGTTTTACCATACTCGTTTTCCCCAATAGACTGTAGTGTTATGAAAACCGTCAGGCGAACGGTTTTCAAAATTTGTAATTCCAATTATAAATATCTTGATAATCAGACAGGCGATTGGATTGTAAAAGTCATGGGGTTCCTGACTGACCTAAAGGTTTATAATTATCATTGCATCATGAGCTAAATCCAGAATTTTGTTTCAGAATCTGAGACAAAGTTACCGGATCCCTTTAAATGAAGTTTCACTGTCCTGTTTGCACATTTCAATAGATACAGGTAGGTACAGGTGTATCCCAGAGGACTACTGAAATTCCCTTAGTTTAACATCATGAAAGTCTCTGCAGTTGGTCATGTTTCAAGTATTGTTTCTATTTCAGTATACAATGTAGAAAATATGAATATAAACATCTCCTGTAACAGGATTTCCACATGTACATGCATCTGTAACTCAACATAGTGCAGGTGATTACCACAGCTACACACTGCAGCATCTTAAAACAGAAAGTCAAAGTGTACCAATCGCCTTATAAAAACAATTTGTGTATAGCTAGAATGTATAAAATCAACCTAAACAAACTTTACCTGGGATTTTATAACTTGACAGTTAAGGAGTATGAACTTAATAAAAAGTAACATAAAACCCTGAGCATGGAACCCCAGTTGGACTTGGTTATCGTGCATGCCCATTCTATGTAAGCATATAGGAGTGCATCGACTAGGCTATCCAAAAGTTTTTTTTTAATACTTACTGAGAATATATTTAACCTGCAGTATCTCTATGTAGAAGTAATATTAGAAGGTTCAATATAAGTGTGAATAAAGCCATATGGAACCCCTTACATCCAAAGCAAAAGCTGTCTTGGTGATTGCCCCCCCCCCCCCCACTCAGTGTTATTTAGGGTACGCGTATGTATGTTCCCTCCCTTTGAAAGCACCCCCTATCTCCAGAGTGTGTAACATCAATGCAGGGCAAATTTTGGAAAGCACCCCCTACCAGAGATTTGGGGAACACAAATGCGTATGAGTGGGGAAGGGGGGGGGGGGGGCCACGGGTGATTGGTAGACTGTGATGACACAATATTAAAAAAGATCCTTTTGTGCTTAAGAACACATTGTTTGAAAGATCACAACAACTTATATCTTGAGAAAAATATCAACAGATTTAACTCAATAAGATAGGGTTCATGCAAAATGGTGATTACGAATCATGAAATTAAAAAAGGTATATTGATACACTTTTTTCATCAGAATTGGTTTTGGTATAATAAATGAAAACATTAATGAATAATTTTGAAAACAAAATATTGAATGTATAAAATACTTGGTCAAGTATATGGTTGGATAAACAAAAAATAAGCTGATATATGTCATTAAAAAATTCATAAAAATCAAAGCATATGTGGATTTGGCACACACTTCTTTGAAATCATCTCTTAAAATATTGAAAACTGTAATAATTACAAGTAAAAAACAACAAAACATACAATATAACACATCAAAAAAGCCTTCAAAAAGCTATAAATGCAACAGTCTAAATAATTACCGGTAGTTAAAAAAAAATAGACAATGATAAGAACCTTCTTTCCAATTCTTAACTCCTCAAAAAAGAGTTTAGAAACTAAAGTTTGAGTGATTATATCTCTCTTGTCATGGGACAATTATAGCTTTGTTTCGTAAGAGGAATAAACACTCTTTCTATTGATACTAGACATAGCGATGATTTTGCCATAAAAATAGAGACATAATCATTTAAACTCAAGTTTAAAGACTTTTTTTGAAGGTTTGGTAATCCAAAATAGTGAACTTACAAAAATAAATGAAGAGGTATTTAGTTAATGCTGGGTGTACATATATGTAACAAAGATACCGTGTGTTACTACATGTTACGTCATAGGCCTACTGTCTTTCACAATTTACATTCATATGAACTTTAAATTGTGTGAACTAGAGTGGGGTACATCAGAACAAAAATATCAAGGTGGGAGTTTTGACTTGAGATTGAGAATTACATAAAACATAAAATGCTGTCCATAAAAATTATCCTGCAGAAGATTTGAAAAGAACATGAATGCTGGGAAGAACCACCCCTACAGCTGCAAACATCATAATTGGCAAATGTTTTTGATCCCCAATGGCCCTGATATTTACAAAATCAAGCATGCATTAATAAAAAATGTTGTGAATTTACATCAATATATTCCACAGATTTCTCTCCATCTCATATATTCACATCTTTTGTACAAAAAACTACAAAAAACTCTACAAAATATGTATAAAAACGCTATACAGCCTCTATGTTTGTTCTTTGATTTTTTAAATATAAAAATCACCGTCAAAAAGTTGTTCTATAGTGGTATTTGTTTCAATGCTCATCTCACACTTCTGAATAAAATTCTACATTATATACTGCATGATGATGCATGATTATATTACAAATATTATTTCATTGATTATCTAGTACATTACGTATGATTTCTACTACAGTTTAGTACTCTAAAATCAAAAGAAAAATCATATTTTGGCGAGAAAGCTACATATTAACTGTCCAAATTTGATGCTGTCAAATATTTTGTTATTGAAATAAATGTACTTTGGAATGGATGGTGTCCATGGCGTCTTATAATATTCTTCCAGGGGAAATTTTCAAATTTCATTTCTTTATCATGACATGTACATGTCATGCTGAATACAGAAAGAGGGAGGTGACATAAAGAAGGGGTATCAGCTAAATCTATTCTCTGTATTAAAATGTTGAAAAGTTCAAAGGGTACAATTTTGAAAGCATCGGTGGAATGAAAAGTGAGACGTGTAAATAATAATAACAATAATAATATGTTGTTTACCCAGGGTAGCCTAATCAGTATTCATACTGTTTTCCCTGAGGGCCCTGCAATCATATGGTGTCCTCCATAATGTAACATCTGCTGAAGTATGGTTCTGATTCATTTAAATAATGCTGAATATAAGAATATAGCTGTCCCATATTACAGAGATAAATTTTGGTGGAGCAAAAACATAGCTGACTATTAATGCATCAATCAGATTAATAATGCTTGAAAATACAAAAGATTGAAATCAAATATTGTTTAATGCATGGTTAATACTTTCTCCTTGTTCAATACACCAGCACACCATAGATATATCTCTCTAGTGTAGCTAAGATGTGTATTAGTACATGGACTAAAATATCAAAATATATTTGTAAGTGACATATGAATGTATTGATAACCTTTTTAAATGCTGTGTAAAATGCTGTTTATATTTGTTAACAGGGTCTAGCGGCAATGTCTGTGGTATGGTCAGCTCTCTGTCTTCGCTTACAAACAGACTCTGATCGGAACCTACATGTAGGTTCCAAACTAAGTCACTTCTTTTGGATGTTGGCGTTAAAGGTACTGTAAGTCTCAGACGTATCTGATTGATAAACATCTGTAAAATCCTTAACACATACACAGCTACGTTGATATTTAAAGCTTTGATACATTTCTTGCAAAATCCGGTTTACCATTAGCACCATGACAACTAATAATAATGTCAAATATCGATTTCTGTAAAGAAGAAAATGGAAGAACAAATTCTAAAAACCTCTTTGTCCTGGTACAAAATGGTCTCAAAACTTCAGCTGTTTATCATAAAAAGCTCTGCTACTAAATTTTAACACTTTCCACAAATGTAATTTGTCAAGTTAACATCATTTGATGATTATGGAAAACAGACATTTTGTTAAAAATTTAAATTACATACAAAAGCAGACCAAACCTGGAAATGTTACATGCATAAGTAGCCTTCAAATAACGACTTCTGTTCCTTTTTTCAACCTATGCAGCCGCAAGAAATTTACTTTTATTTTTCATAAATACGACATGTTCATGTTTTCTTCTGTTTCTAACTATCACCTTAAGCTGATGACGATAGAAAACACTATCTTATGGATTGGCCATGACGACAATTTCAAACCTGATTAAAGTGTCTCTCGGAAGATAAATAAAGTGGTGACTGTGTACATGATTAAGGTGGGCTTTTAGTAACGATGCTCAAGAGAGAAATCCCAATGGCAACAAGAACCACATGGTCCATCAGTCATCCAGGGGATAATTCAGCCAAATGCAAATGATTTTTCCTGACAGAGCCTATCATCTGGTGTGTTTTTCTCTTCACCAACTAAATGATCATCAAGGAATTGTAGAAAAGAGAAGCCAGAATGGAAACCATTGTGTCCACTCTGTCATCTGTTGAATGATTTTGCCATGCATATGTCTCTCCGGCAGGGGTATACTATCTATCTCGTCTCACAGAGGACACCATCTGGTGGGTTGTTCTCTTGAGTCTTTGAACCATGCAGAGTGTATCATCCAGGAAGAAACCAAAGTGATCACTGTCATCAGTTGAAGGAATCAGCCAAGCGTACATCTCTTCTTACAGAAGACACCATCTGGTGGGTTGTTCTCTTGAGTCTTTGAACAATGCAGAGGGTATCATCCTGGAAGAAACCAAAGTGATCACTGTCATCAGTTGAAGGATTCAGCCAAGCGTACATCTCTTCTTACAGAAGACACCATCTGGTGGGTTGTTCTCTTGAGTCTTTGAACAATGCAGAGGGTATCATCCAGGAAGAAACCAAAGTGATCACTGTCATCAGTTGAAGGATTCAGCCAAGCGTACATCTCTTTTGTTACAGAGGACACCATCTGGTGGGTTGTTCTCTTGAGTCTTTGAACCATGCAGAGGGTATCATCCAGGAAGAAACCAAAGTGATCACTGTCATCAGTTGAAGGATTCAGCCAAGCGTACATCTCTTCTTACAGAGGACACCATCTGGTGGGTCGTTCTCTTGAGCCTTTGTGCCATGTGGAGAGCATCATCAAGGGAGAGTTGAAGCTCAGCTGGTACTTCACTTACCTAGAAGAGAGCAGAAGGTGAGGAAAAAGAAAGATGAAGGGAAAAAAAGAAGAGAAGGATGGTATTAGGAGAAACGAAAGGGTGGTAGTGATCATAGGTCCTTAACCATAGGTCTAGTTGCCATGCATCCATTTTACTATTAAAATGGACCACATCTTGCAGTGCGGCGGAACGGGTTGCACAGATGAAGACCTGCCCCTTGTAAATGAGACGGCCATCGCAGCCATCAGGCAATGGAAGAACTTAATTTATTTCAATTTAATTTAGGAACTGTACATTAATCTTGACCTAAGGAGACACGAATGAATGAACTAAATGCTTCTGAAACAAAATATGGGATCGATTTAAAAGCTAATCATTTCTCTAATTCGTAGGGTCATTGAATTATTGTTGGGATACATCATTTACCGTGAAAGTGCAACGAACAAGACAATTGCTATTTCATATGGAGTTTAACTGCGATATGTATCAAATTTTGGAGCAAGCGCCAAACACATATTATTATTATCATTAGTAGAGCTTTCAGCAAGCTATTTGGTCTCTTCTTCAAGCTCTATGACCGGATGAAAATACTCTGTAGTTAAAGCTCATGTATAGTTTTGTATCAACACGGGAATGGAAAAGAAATGTGTTAAATATAGTCTCATATTGTTCTCTTAGTATCAAGAGATATACAGAGTGTATACATGTACAAGATCATTTGGCATTCGATCATTGTTCATGATGATTCTTTTCGGTGAATTGTCATGTAATTATCTGCAAGAAATGCTAGAAAACGGCTCTACAATCCCCTACACTAGGACCAGTCGACCCAAATGGTTCCGGGCAAGCCGGCACATTAATCTTGGCGTTTCGCTTGGACAGCGCGTGTGTGGACTGTAGTGTATAAAACACACAGCCCTCAAAGATTTTAGTTGTGTATGGTGCAGGTTGTCATTGTAAGAATTTGAATCCCAGGATGGGTATGTAAATCATTTTCTACCTGTTTAACGTTTTCCTTTAGGAAAAAACAACAACAACACAGCACCTAAATATTGCTATTATCTTCCTATTTGTTATTTCCAATCAAAAAAATTGTCAAGAATATTTTGAGGGCTTATCAAAACTCTTCTTGACCTTTAAATGAGATTATATTACAGCCTTCTCACCTTCTGGTGTTTAACAGTCCTTGGAGTATGTCTGTTCCTGGTCCTGGAGGACTTTGGTGTTCTCCTGTAATAAAACTCCTCCTCTCCCCCTCCTGCACTGGATCCCTCCTCCTCCTCCTCCTCCTCCCTGAGGTAATAGCGCCCTCTACTCTTGCCGGGTATCAGGTAGACTGGCCGAGCATCAGGATGTCTGTGGCAGCAATAACATGGTAAGGAATCTTGGTCATTGGAGTTTTTAGACTGATATAGGTACGATACATACATACATACATGAACATGCATTATAGTATCTGTAAAACTTACAAATGTACACTGAGGAAACATTAGCAAGCATTTGGTTTCTCAGACGTTCGCCAACTCCTAAAGTGTAGTACATGGTTACAAACTAAAAATTTGTAATACTGCCATCACACCTTGTTTTGTGTTAATTTAATTTTCTATGAACATGATGATACAAACATACAAGTATATTTGAAAATAAGAATGATTGTTGGATAAAATTTGAAAAAATGTATGTACTACTTATTCACATATTTCAATTCATATATTTTCCTTACTAATTCCAAATGCAGATAAACGGACATGTTCACTGGATAAATTGATAAGTTAACTACCAGGGTACTAGTCAAATACTTCACATAACTAGGTACACTTACAAATGGCTAGGTGTTCCACTTGGTTGATGTGTACTTGTCTGGTTCACTGCTGGGGTAGCAGGTGTTGCAGCTGGTACCTGTTGGGTGGCCTGTGGTACCACTGTGATCGGCTGCGGTGCTGCAGAAGTGTAAGGCTGCTGGAGCACATAGGATTGTCCTTGGTTAAGTGGTACTGAATGATTGTTTTGTGGTGCCCCTGGCATGGTGTGAAGTGCAACTGCAGGGTTGGGTTGTGTTGGAGTATAATATGGTGCCTGAGGGTACACCCTTGATGATGGTGTCTGTGAACTGTACGTAGGGACATAAGCCTCAGGAGGTGGAGTACGGTGTGGTGGTGGTGGTGGGTAGCTATACTCGCCATGGGTGTGACTACCAGACCCTCCACACGTAGGACATAGCATTGTCTCAGTTTGGTACCGCACACCAGGTGTCTGAAACCCCCCTGGCCTCCTGGACACTGCTGGTGGACTTGAAGGGGTATAGTTGGCACCTCTAGAAAATGCATAGCTTTGATTGTCTGTAGCCGGACGTGATGGAGTTCTCATGGTTGACCAATTCTCATGTCTGGTTCCAGAGTTATATTTCTTGGGACTTGTATGGATTGGTGAAGCACCGAAAAAAGCATTGCTCCTTGGAATGTACCTCTCTCTGAGCACATCACGTATGGTGTCCCTCAGTGGTGTTGACGAGGCATACGGTGCATGCATTCTGCTGGGAGTGGCATCTCTATCTGCAAGCTGGTCCTTCAAATCTGTAATTTCCTCCTGCAACATGTGCAGCATCTCGCTTTTTGAGCTCCGTGAAGAGAGCCTATCCTCGTCACCATCATCATGGTTACGCATCCTCGAATACCGGCTCTCCTCTGGTATTGGTGGAGGGTTGCGGTTTGCCTCCATCATCTTGGTTCTTAGCTGATTGACGTCATCCTGGAGGGCTCGTAAGGCATCACTCCTCACGCTGCTCCTGGTGACATCAGACCTTCCATCAAACTCTGGTTGCTGGTGCCTTTGGGGTGATTCCCTAGGTCTTCTCGGCGGTTCTGTCCTTTGATGGTGTACCCTTTGAGGTGCCGGTACCCTGCTGTTCTGGTGATTAGCGCTTCTGCTCAAGTACTGGCTACCAAGAGGGATGCCCTGGTCATTTGAGGGATGTCTGCTTTGCTGTGCTGGAGGAGGTGTACCATTTGCTCTCTGTTCCCTCTGCTTTATGGGTGATGGTACTGCGTGAGGCTGACTGGATACTGATCTCGTATCTGAAAACATATATTTAATGAGAGTATGATTTTCAACATATTCTGACATAAAACTCTCTGTTGTTTTTATTTCTATATTTCCATTCAATTTGGCCATCTCAAAATGATCATCCAGCAATCTACTTCTAGCATACTGCCATTGAAAAATACACTTGAAGAGCCTGGTATAGATATATATATACATAGTATACGTGCACATGAATCTCCTTGTAAAATTGTATGACATATTTATCTCGCTTTCTTCAATACTTCTCAAAGATTTGTTAAGATGTAACTGCTGGTAATGATTGATTCTCTTCCATCCTCACACTCCAAGGAAAACACAGGATGGAAATAAAATGCAAACAAAGGACCAATATATGTACCAATATATATATTTACCTCTTCTTTGATGCTCACGAGGTGTCATTTTTTGAGGACTTCTTTCTTTAGCTCTCTTACTCCCACCAGAGTAAACAGAATCTTGGGTCTCACGGGGCATAACTTCTGGCTTTTTTCCCCTGGCTCTTTTACCCCCTCCAGAATAAATGGAATCTTCCTCCTCAGGCACAGCCTGCTGCCTCAGTGGGACTGGTTCATTACTTCTGAGGGGTGTTTTCATGCTCCTCCTTTGAGACTCTTGAGAAGGCAACCTGGAATCTCTTATGGGAACAATTTTAGGTATTTCAGAATGTGCTGGCAACCTGTAAATACAAGAAAAAGAAGTAGATATATGGGTATGTGAAATTTACATGTATATTGTATTACCTTTACTAAAACTGTGCATCAATATCAGTTTATGAACTATAAAGAATAAATTCATAATTCTCGCTATTGCCAATATACTAAAAAAATACCTATATGTTACTCTCAGGCCCTATTTCAAATGCACTCTGGGATAGTTTGGTGACAAAGTCGCTTTCGGTCTATTTTGCATGTGTGCTTCATTTTCAAACAGTATGCAGTTATTTATCATGATTTTCAAGCGATTTCAAGAGTGGAACATTACAAAAACATATAAAAATATTGTTAAACTTACAAAATATAAGATATCTGGATGTGTGATGGGCAAGAACAAGTAGGAACATAATGCATAGCGCGAAAACTCGGCTAAAAGACTAACGAGCGAGACTACAATAGAGGGTTCATTGACTTGTTGGACGGCCAACCTTTCATTGTTCAATTCAATCTGGTCGTCGATATGATATGGTGTATCTTTCTCTTGTTTTTCGTTACTGCTGTCATAAAAACTTAGGAACCTGGAAATTGGAAACGTACTTACTTACAATGCGCATGCATAATACGTGTACCACGTGCGCCACTGTACACTGGAAGTTTGTAAGTTCCGATAGTAGGTAGAAATTACGTCCACGAGTCTACATTCAGGCATTTGGGAGTATTGGTGATAGCGAGAATTGAATGGGGGCGTTGCTTTATTATAAATTCCCAAACACAGAAACACACCTTTGTGCCCTGTTTCTTGTCCTTGTGTCTGAGCCTCTTGTCTGTAGGGATTGTCTACTACCCTTTGAACCTAAGTACCTACTGTTCCCCTTATACAACCAAACAAACAAACAAACAAACCTCTGTGCCCTGTTCCTTGTCCTCGTGTCTGAGCCTCTTGTCTGTAGGGATTGTCTACTACCCTTTGAACCTAAGTACCTACTGTTCCCCTTATACAACCAAACAAACAAACAAACAAACCTCTGTGCCCTGTTCCTTGTCCTCGTGTCTGAGCCTCTAGTCTGAAGGGACTGCCTACTGCTCTCCGATCCGAGGAACCCACTGTCCCCCTCAGGCTCTAGATGGGTGCCGTGGGTGCTCTTGTTGCCCCTCTGCTTCCTGGTATCACCCCCTGCATCACCCCTGCGGTGGGAGGACCGATGGTCGGAGTTAGGGCGCGGTGGAGTCTGCTTGGTGCTAGACTGTAAAGACAAATTAGAATATCATAATTATGTTCATATTAATAGCAATTATGGAGCCTTTTATAGCGCCCATGTCTAGCTCATTGCTCCTGGCACTCCATTATTTTTACTAGGCTTGAGTCGGTACGGTCGATCACACCGGGACCCGACCGTTGCCGTCGGGTCCCGGTTTCGTTTTTTGAGAACCGACGCTCCGAAAAAAAATAACGAAATATGTAAGAAATTGCAGTTTTGCACACCACTAAAATCAATCCACCTTAAAACTTAAGTATTTAATGGTTACCAATCATATTCTAGCTCATCCTGAATCAATCCGAACTGCTGATATAAATATGGGTTGCAATTAGGCAGTTCGCCCCATGGGGGTGTTGTTGCCAGCTGCTAGCTAGCTACTGTACTGGCCGGCTCTCTCGGCAGGAATCAGGTTGAAAGAAACATTAATGTATGAATAATAAAACGGCTTTCTAAAAAGTACTTCTTTACAACATACCGATCGAATAGTTTTTAAAAGACAAAATATATATTTTTTTTCTTTGATTTTGAACACCGCATGCTTCTTTTAAAAGCTGAAAATTACTGAAAGTTTCGATACGGATAGTTGTTGCAAGGCAAGTTCAGACTAGTCTCGGAAAAATGCGCACTGTGCTCCTCGTTAGCTGTAATGCGTGCCAGAACGAACCCCCAAAAAGACGTGATCGTAACGAGAAAAAAATCATTGAAAACTATGAGAGCACAATTGGATTGACAACTACTTAAAATTATCGTAAGCAGATACATAACTTGGAGGAAGAAAACAATAGTTGTCCAAGAAAAGCCACATAAATAGTGATATTTAAGGAGTTACTATAGGTACAATCATTATCGGAAGGGCCTGCTGCAATATCTGAATTACACGTGTTTAAATTGAACACGAGGCTATACGAGGCAAATACCGCCCTCTACGGTAAAAAGCAGTATAACAAAGGATTCAAGTATTTGCAGCAGGCTCCTTGCGATAAAAATGTACCCAGTTACTCCTCGATTATCACAATTTCTGTGGCATTTCTTGGGCGATTGATGAATTCTTTGTCCAAGTTATCTGATTATGGTAATTTTGAGCAGTAGTTGTCTTTCCAATCGTGCTCTCGTAGTTTTTAATGATTTTTTTCTCGTTACGATCACGTCTTTGTTTGGGTTTGTTCTGGCACGCATTACAGCTAATTACGAGGAGCACTGCGCATTTTTCAGAGACTAGTCTCAACTTGCCTTGCAACGCTATCCGTATCGAAACTCTTGATTACCAAGTAATTTTCAGCTTTTTAAAAAAAGCATGCGATGTTTAAAATAAGAGATAAATATTTATGTTGTCTATAAAATATTATATGATCGGTATATTGTTCAGAAGAAATTTTTAGAAAGCCGTTTTATTATTCTAACATTCATATTTTTTGACCAGATTTATTCAACCTGCATAAATCGAAATGGTGGCTCGAATGTTGTCTTTACATTTCTGCCCCAGTTTTTTTACTATAAGAGGCACGAAAATGGCACTAAACATCGCCAATCATGGATGAAAATAATGTCAAATGAAAGAATATACCGATCTGAGCCGAGGTATGCATGTGCTTATTAATTTGATTGATACAAAAGGTCACTTTTAAGGGACATACTGATGATATGCGCTTTTTATAGAGGCAAGTGACAAATCCTGCGAGTTGATTTCGGGACACCGGGTCCCGATCGGTACAAGGCCGTCGGGACCCGGTTTATGAAAATCCCGACATGACTCAGGCCTAATTTTTACCCTGGTGTTAGCATGGCTGCCATTTCAGTGTAACAAATGTAGATTGATGTATTGTCATAGGACATTAGAGCTGTGACAGGGATTTGAACCCCATTCCTTATGGTTCACTATCTGCAGACTTAACCACTGGATCACAACACATTAGATAGGAAAAACCTTCATGTTTCCTTTTTTTTTCAAATTCTATTTCTTAGATGTATGGCTGAGCAATACACGGAATAGGTACATGTAGATGACACTAGGAAACTTGTGTCATCATTAGCATTATCAATATCCATGAAGAATTATCCATGGGCTTTTGATCTATGTGTTCATAATATAGATTGAATAAAGTACTTACGTAATTTCATGTTAGGAAACCCATTTTCAGGGAGAGAGAGACACAGAGAGAAAGAGAGATACAGGCAGGAGACAGACAGATAGAGGGATAGAAAGAGAGACAGAGAAAGAGAGAGAGAGAGACAGAGAGAGACAGACAGATAAAGAGACAGACAGACAGAGAGAGGAAGAGGAAGAGATAAAATGAGATATACAGAGAGAGAGAGAGAGAGAGAGAGAGGTAGAGACAGAGAGACAGAGAGAGAGAGACAGAGGGACAGACGGATAATAGACACAGAGGGGGTTCATATCCTAAATGGTACAGAATGGAATTATATACAGAAAAAGAAAGTTTACAGATAGGAGAGCGAGACTGGAAGACAAATGGAAGAGAATGAGCTGAAAAAGAAGAGGCAAAAAAAGAGAGGCAAAAAAGAGGAGGCAAAGAAGAGGAGGAATTGATGAAGAGTAGTAAAGTTTATAACCCTGTGTGAAAGAAATTTGACAGGCAGAGTGAAGGAGGATAAAACTCACTTTTCCAGGGATGCTTTTCCTCCTACTATGGACAGATGATGATGGTTGATCATGATCCGGTGACCCTAGCGATGAGATGCTTCCATCTCCAGGGGGCTGCCATTTTGGAAGCTCATCCTGTCTTGTTCCTGCAAATGAAATGCAATAAAATGAGAATCTAGTGTTGCGATTTGTCAAACAATAGCAAAATGGATTCTTCTGCTAAAAATGGAACTTCATCTTGCACAATCAGTCTAGAAACTGAATTTCTCAAGTAATTTGATAGTCTTTCTAATAACTGCACTTTTTAAAGATCATATACTGTACTGCATTATCACTTTTCTGATATTTTGATGACATAGGAAGTAAATTTCAGCAGAGATAATTATGCTCAGTCGCAAGTTTTCTGTGCAAGAAAGTAAAGTAGCCACTGGTAGTAAACACTACCAAATTCCAGATTTGTTTTCCCCTTTTAAATTTCAAGGGGTTGGCATGATTTAATAATCAAACTTGCTAATGGTACTTGCATGGCCTTCAAGTGCAGAATAATCTTTTTGTAAAAATATAGCTTTATTTATTTGTTTCTTGTATATATATATATATATATATATATATATATATATATACAGTGCATACCACATCATGAAAATAACATCTCTATGCACTTCCAAAGAGCATTGGAAATTATCACTCTGGTGTAAGCTCAGATATCAAATACAGGACCGACCACTCTAAATAAGGGATAAAATAGACAATCATGGATTTCGGGCCATCGGGACAGGTCGTTTCCCCGAATATGAAAGTGACTGGAATCCCTTTGCATAGCTTACATGTACATGGTGATCCATTCCATATGATTCTCCTCTGATTACTACAAAATTACCACATTATACAGTGTTGAATGGACTAATCGTTTCATAGCGAGAATATATCACTCTTGGAGGGTGTTTCATGAAGATTAAGATCAACTTTAAGTTGGACTTAACTATGGCAGGCCATTCATGCAACTGTTTGCTCTCACAATTTACTGGCATTGGTCTCTCAAGAGACATACAAATCATGGTCACAAATCTACAGAATTTACTCTTTTTGATAATTCATTATTAAAGGAAAAAGTATATTCTAAAGATCATAATGGTGAGAGCGACCAGTGGCATAATTGGCCTGCCATAGTTAAGTCCAACTCAAAGTCGATCTTATTCTTTGTGAAACCCTCCCCCTCCCCCGGAAAACTGTTCCTCACCTTTTGGTCTGAAGACATCAGGCGATGTTGTTTCTCTGAACGGAGAGGAATGGCTTGAAGATCGGTCCACGTCCCCATCATGATCCTCACCATCATCATCAAAATCCATCTCATCCTCCTCTATCATCTCAGCATCGTTACCATGGAAACCGGCTCCATCTCCATTGTCCAGTTGATCCATACTCACAACAGCAGAGTCTGGCATGTCCTGAAGGCTCTAAAGAAAATACAAAATCAGAGATAGCATTTTGTTAGAGTTATATACCAAGCAGATATTATTTAAACATATTTGTGGCTTGTACCCAGTAAATAAGATTGATTGATCGATCTGTATTGAAAAGAAAGAAGAAAAAAGCAGATATTGTTGTGTAAAGATAATTTTCACTGATCAAGGGGTAAAGAACAAATTTGCATAAAGCCATAACAACTACCAATTACATACTTTTCAAACTATTTCCATGGATAATGAACTCATTACCAAGTTTCAAAATCATCATAATATAAGAATTATTTTGGGAAATTAAATGACAATGATCTAATGAAGTGCCTCATTATGATCAGTGTTGTCTCAAACTGCGCGACATGACCCAACGATGACTTGTGCTATTATTTAGACGCCATGTATGACATGTGTTAGGGCTTACTACAGTAATTTAGACATGCGACATCACTTGCTGAAAATATTTTAAATGTTGTTTCAAACTGTATAAAAGCAATCCCATCATATAGCAATGACTTGCACTTCGATAAAAATACATGAAAATAGGTTTGAATACAAATAAGTAAGCCCCGACCTAATTTTGAGCTCTGAAATCAAATGATATTCTCTCATTTAAAAAAAATTACCCTCCATTGTTCATTAGAAATCCAAAATGAGAGACTTGTTATACAAGATAAATACTGAGGAATTAGGTTTAATTCAACTATTTTCAGGATTTGAGTCACATGAGTGAGTAAGCAATGTCCCTTACCTTGACAAGCTGCTGAATCTCTCTGTCTCTCTCTGGGTGGGGTGGTAGCTGTTTTAGAGCATCATACCTACATGTATAATGTACAAAAGGAAAGAAGGATGAGGAGCGAGATAGCTCAGTCAGTAGAGCAGTGGTCTCATAATCCGGCGACCCGGGTTCGAAACCAAGGCGATGCGCTAGTGCCCTTTGGTAAGGCATTAATCCAAGCAGTCGGTCCTCTGGTTGCTTACTAACAAGCATTTATGCTTTCTTAGCAGTCAGGTAAAATAACCACCACTACAAATTAGCATTAGCATGTATGTGCAAATATAACCATTAAAAACAGAAAAGTCATAGAATTCTTTTATATCAGAATAATAAGATTTGTTGATATGAGATTAACCCTAAAAAAAGGGCAGAGGTGGTAATAGAGGGATGGGGAAGGGCAAATAGTGGAAGAGGGGTTTATTCTTCTAATCTAGAAGTTCACCATACTATCTTCAAGTTCAAATAAGGTTTTATTCATTACTTGTCAACAAGTCCAAATCTTACTCTTCTTAGTTATCTAAAATGCATGGTATCGGTTCATACACAGTGAAATAAGTACAGTTCATACAAAAAACAGAAAACAGAAAGAAAAGTGGCCTTGATAGCTGGGTTTCTTTGGTACACAATTCGCTGAAAAACGGAAGAAAAAAACATGGAAACAGAAAATGATGTTTTTATAGACTTTAGATCTTTCTGTAGAGGTAGTCACTAAAACAGCTGTACAAGAACATCAGAAGGCAAGAGTGGATGGAGGTAACTCAGTGTCACAAACTATTCAGTCAAGTGGATAAAATTCAAGTAAGATGAGGAAGAAAAAAAAGACTACTGACCTGCTTAGCAGCAAGGCATAGTCTTCTTCAGGAGACTGTGTATTGCTTTGTCCTCTTGTGAGATCTACTACAGAACCATCCCCTGTTGCCATGGTAGCATCTGATGCCTTCCTTTGGGGGGTGGCCGGCAGCTCTGGTGGGTTACTACGTAAATTATCCTGAGGTAAGGAGTGATCAACAATATTATGCAATTTAATAACAGTTTGGTCTTACAGTTCAAATTTGTTTAAAGACCGTCTGTACTAGTTTGGCTAGGAGGGATTAGACCACCCAGGGTGGTCACTCACAGGTGGCTGTCTTATCAAATCAGCTCTCACTTAACATAAGAAAAAGAGGATCATGGGGGACCAATGGTCACCGATTAGGCATGGTTTTCTATATAGAGGGAGCAAGTAGCTATAAGTAGCAGGCCTACAGTGGGGCTTAAGGGCACTGTCAGACCTGTCATTTCTTATGAATTCAAATGCCGTAGTCTTAAAGACAGTCAATACTACTGGGCCAGAAGGGATTAGACCACACAGCGAGGTCACTGACAGGTGGCTATCTCATTAACTCAGCTCTCAACTAACATAAGAAAAAGAGGATCATGGGGGACCAACAGACACCGATTGGGAAAGTTTTCTATATAGAGGGAGCAAGTAGCTACAAGTAGGACAATGGGGCTTTAACAAAGAAGCAAGGGTGGTATTCTGAAAACGATGTTGGCATGTAAAGTATAGCTAACATAATAGGTATTCCAAAACTATGAATACAGAGTGTTCAGGCAGGAAGTTGCAGCGCACATACGCATAACCTTATGCAAGTCTCATGCGCACATAGTTAACATTGATTTATTCTGAAAACTGTTATAGCCACAAGATAGCACAGAAGTAAGCATTGGAAATAACTTTCGTCTCGAGATCTTTTCAGTATCAAGTACATGTATATTCATACTTGAAATGCATTAGATATTTTGTTTTCTTCAGTTTTCCTCTTTGGTTTCCAAGATCACTGCAATATAATTCTTTGAAACTACAATTGTTTTAGTAAAAAAACCAACTGAACATCAAAGGACACTGGTGCGGCGGCTGGACTCGAATCACGAACGATGTGATCCACAGTCCAGTGACAAATCCACAAGACTATAACACCTCTAGTAATATGCTTTATATATTCATTTATTTCTTTAATTTTTTTAAGGGATGACACAGTGTTTGGGGAAAATTTCTGAAAATTCAACGAAAAGTGATTTGTTTAGTATTACCATGAACCTATTACGAATGGACATTCATCGTTTTCTTAACAAATTCATTGTAATTGTCTCCGTCAATGTCGTCTCAATAACATTCCGTACATGTTTCTTCACTTTGATCTCATGATGGTCACCGCCAATAAGCCGGGACAGAATCAAGATAGTGATTTTAAACATGTTAATATACATGCGCAGAAGATAATAAATCGCTTAAATTATTGGAAATCGATGTGCAGTTCTGGTTAATAATTGGAAATTGTTTTTTTCGTGTACTGTGTTCTATTTTTGAAAAACATGTTGATATAACCAGATAGAATTTGTATAGATTGTTTGTGATTTAAAATCCTGTTTTCCCCAATTTCCTCATAATATTCCAGAATTACAACGCACAGGGCTTATAAAGGTCAAGGCCTTCTAATTGTTTTATAAGGCCATTGGTGCGTGCAAAAGTGTGCAAATCAGTGATAATACATGTACATTTCATATCACCAAAATCATCTGCTTTTCAACTTTGCTGCTCCCCATTGGGGATGTTTTTACTGAAGACATACTCTTACAGAGCACACCATCCAAACAAAACCCAAGAGAGGGAAACTGCTCCTTTGTCAATGCCCGAAAATTATATGCTTACGCAGTCGTTATTGTTAAAACAGCTGAATGTTCTCATTAAGATGCACATAATCAGAATGCGGTGACTATCATTGGATCAAAGAAAGAATCACATTGAATGTCCATTCGTAATAGGTCCATGGAATTACCAATTCATAATCGGTTCTCTGGCAAGTACAAGAAAAAAGGAGAAAGAAGAATTACCAATGTAGAATGTGGTACACATGTATGAACTCATTTTCAAGGCAATCACTCTACATTCATTGTAGGTATGTCCCCATCAGCTCAAGATTGCCAAGTGGCCCGCTATTTCTGATTTGGGAAATATGCCTGAAGTTACAAATCGTGTCTTCGTCAGCTCATCAGATATTTTTTAAACTAGCCCATGATATCTGGGGATGATTTCCCGAGCAAATAGCCCGCCATTTGCGCCTTCACCTACCAAATAGCCCGCTATTTCGTGATCGGGCTAATATCCAGGATCAGAAAAAGCGGGCTATTTGGCAATCTCAAGCTGATGAAAACAGGCCTCTTTTTACCTGTACAATCTCTTGAAGGTCCTCCAGCCTCATCCCAAGCTGAAACAACTGACCCTCCAAAGACTTCTCTGGGTCAAAAATTGCTTGTTGACCTGTAGCTGACCCCAATCTGACCTTCAGATTGTGCTCTTCCTTAGCCTGCATGTAGTCTGCTTCTAGCTTGTCCTGACCCGACTTCAACCCCTCTAGCCCCCTCTGTTGGTCCACAGGGTTAAGGTGGTTTTCTTGTAAAAGAATCTCATATGAGTCCATCTGTTCAGATGTTTTTGTTAAAAGCAAAATTTAGTTTTAAGAAATGTAAACACATTATTCAAGATTTTTCATATAATAATGGAGGGGGACGCAATCGGCATCATTCTTGCTTCATTTTCCCTAAACCACTTCCAGTTTCTTAATAATATTAATAATAATGCAAAGTGCTTCAGCTGCTCCCATATTACCCCAGCTCTGCTAGGCTACTAGTTTAGATATTAACAGCATTCAAGGGATGATCCCTTCCTATTAAAGTTTAACACCTGGGAGGAGAGTGGCAAATGTAGATTAATGTCTTGCTAAAGTGCTGTGGCGGGACTGGAGCCACAAATCATGTGATCCAAGGTCCGACAACGTATCCACTAGACGATACCTCTAAAGTTCTTGTCTGTAAGCAATACACAACATGTATGTACATACACTGTATACATGTAGATGAATGGAACAGACTGATAAGATGGCATTAACAAAAGTTATCAATAAAACTGTTATTTAATTCTTGATACATGCAGCTTTTTTCTCGCTACCCCCCCCCCCCCCCCCCCCCCCCCCCAGTGTAATTGAATTTGCATGTCATACTCTCAAAATACATGCATATCATTGGAATAAAGCTTTCAAGTACAGAATACATTTTAACTCTACATGTACATGTACATACATGTACATTGAGTCTTACACATCTTTTTAATTTTTTTTTGAAAATCAAGACAAAGTCACGTGATTTGTGTCAAACATATGGAAATACCATTATTCCTAAACAGAGATAAAACATTGGTTATGTGGTCTTGTTTAAAGTTTAGGTGTTTGTTTTGGGGTCAAAATAGTTGAATTGTAGTTAGAAATGAAATAAAAACAACAAAAACAATAAAATACATAAGTTAAAAAAACAATGAAATAATAATAATAATAATAATAATAATAATCTAATAGTCCACTCCAAATACATGCAAAATTATGAAAACAAGAGATAACATAAGGGATAACCTGGCTCTTCCCATTTTTTTTGTTGTATTATTATTCCAAATGGTCCAACGAATATATGTAGCGAAAAAGAATGCTTAAATATGAATAATATACGATTAATGGGTAAAAATGTGAATTGTATGACCAAGCAAATATTGACAAATATTTGTTGCACTTTTAGAAATGTTCTTTACAAATTGTTAAAAGTAATATTTATACAAGGGGCAAATTTCTTTTCTTTTATATAATACACATATTTCAAGCTGAGGGTTTGTTCTTATCAAGGAGACATACTGGTAGCATAATTCACCACAACCTCACCTTCTCCTTGTGCCCTTCAGTCTGAAACTGAAGAGCCAGCAGTTTCCCTTCAGATGCATCCGGCAAAGCCATCTGACTCTTCCCCTTATTAGAAGTGGAAGCACCCATGCTTACATTGGATGTTGTGTGCAAGTGGATTGTACTATTCCCTCCAGGGGGATGTGTCAGACTGCTAGATGATGAAAGTACACAGAGATTGATAGAGGGAGATCGGTTGAAAGGAGCATAAAATAGTTTATCACAAAACAAGGATTGATTCTACCAGTCTCTGTGTATAACTTCTATTTAAGTAAATCCCCACAGAGTAGTTGATTTAACCTAAATCAATAGTTGATACTATATGCTGTTGTTCTATGAATACCTTCATCATAAAGAGAAGAACACAATCTGTCATTAACTTAGATGGTTCATAAAATGAAACATATAATATGGGGGAAGAGAGAGAGAGAGAGAACAACAAAAAACACTGGTACTGATATTCTTTTGATGTTTGAACTTTGAGCCTTCCACATGAAAAAGAAAATTGCATTTCCAACAAGCAGAATAACTAACAATAACAAATTACAATGATCTACTGTTTAGACATATCGTCCCTATTTTCACGAAGTGATGGTAGTGAGGAAAATCGTAACGAAAAGTGAATGCAATTTTTTTTTACTACCGTCACTTCGTGAAAACAGCGACGATATGTAGGCAATGTTTATTTTTAAAAAGGAGTATGAAGGGGGAGGGCGGCGATTATGGCGAGTGGAAATTACAACTTGTTATGATTGCTCGGCGATTTTATTTAACAAGTGTGCAGAACTTCACCATCAAACTGCAAATCCCCCCAAAACACAATACATTACAGTGTACATGTAAGAAGTGGATTAAAATGAACACTCAAAGATGACTCACCCACTGCGAGAAACCACTCCTTTCTGTCCTTGAGGCAATGTTATACTCTGACCATGTTTGGCTGGTGAAGGTCCAGCATTCCCTGGTTGACCACCTGGTGCGCCCTCATAATGCAGGTTGACCCTTGCCCCTAGACGCAAGGAATCAATGGTATTCTCTGCTTGGGCATGCTTCTGCAGGAGCTGAGCGTGCTTCTGCAGGAGTTCATCATGTTCCTCCTGCAGCTGATCCACAAACTCATCGCTGAGCAGTCTCGACCTTGCACTCTTGTCTAGGTGCTGCAGGTCAGTGCTACTGAGGTCACTTCGTGCAGACATGTTGTCCAAGCGCAACCTGGGGATGGTCCCCACAGGAATGTCCCTATCATGCTTCACAGGTGACGGACTGAACTCATCTACTTGGCGGACAAGAGTTGAATTGCGTCCCGGTGTGCTTGATCTTTGACTCACTTGCCCTACACTCTCCTGAATACTGTATTCGCTTTGATCATCGTGGCTTCTTATACTGGCACAACTACTTCTCCTACTACTCTGTGATAATACTGACTGGGGCGTTGATGCCCTGGAAGATCTAGTTCTGAATGATTTGACACTATTGGTTTTCCTTTTACCATCAATACTTTGCTGTAAGTTTTGTTCACTGGCTGAACTCTGTTCCGAGATTGTCTTATTTTTCAGTTGTGCAGCAGTTTGAGGTCTGCTTGGCCTTCTATGAGAGGTAGCGATAGGTTTGAAGTGCTCCACGTCTCCTCCACTGGCGTCTTTCTTACCCTCAGGACTGCTCCCTGTCCCAAAGGTCTCAACATTTGTAGCAGCTGCTTGAATGACTGTCGTGAGGCTTTCCCTGCCCTTGGGAGTGTTGTTTCTACTATGACCAAACAAATCAGAGCCGTCTTCTGATTCCAGATGAGACGGTTCCTCTGGCAGCCGCTCTTGACTCAGGCTGAAGAAGTCTGGCTGTGAAGACATCTGGGGAACATAGTGCCCATTGACCTCACCTCCATAATCATCCAGAGAATCGTTGTCATAGGATTTCTCCATCAGCCTGGAGAGTCCATGTTCTTCACCAGAAGGGACCTCTACCGTGCTTCTTGGTGTGGCCTGCATATACTTCATCATGTCGTCACTCTCGTTATGCATATTCTCTTCTCCTTCAGCTGCACTTCCAAAGCTGTGTTCACTCTCAGAAACTCCATTATGTCTACCACTCCCGCTCATGTCATAGTCATGATCGGACCTGAAATCCATATCTCCAGAGCTCCTGCGATCCACCTCGTACCCTCCATTCAGCCCTCCATTGGCCAAAACATTCCCATTCCCCAGCAGAAACCTCTCATCCATGCCAACACCTTCTGCAGATTCTTGAGACTGGTCTTTAAGGGTCAGCTCAAGGTGTTCAAACTCCTGCAGCGATCTTTGACGATGGATTGGCCTGTCAAAGCCGTTTCCTATGATCTTGCCTCTCGGAGTCAGTGGCCCGATGTCTCCGTTCTCATCTTCTTCCTGCGACTCTCGTTGTGGTTGGATGCCGTCCTCAACATTGGTCATGGAGAAGACATTCTCACCCTGAGGCTCAGGTGAGAAGACCTCTTCTCCGTAGACGTCATCGCTTACTTGACTACTACTGACGGAAGCACTGGAAAATCTGTTCCTGAGACCTGCAGAGGGAATCAAGAACCCCAAACAATATCAAGACACAAGACACAAGCCCCACAGCAAAACAAATGTCCCATGTATTAATGAACCCAAAGGCTGTTTTCCTGTGCTCGTATACTGCAATCCCACCAATGAAGAGCCCCTGAGGTAGTGTGCATTCAGAAGCAAGCTCTCAAGATAGAATGGGAGACTGAAGCAGTCCTGATGTAGACTCACCGTCTTAATTTCCTTCTCTCTTCTCAATCTAATCCTGCCCTCACTCAGCGAGTTCTTGTGTTTTGTTTGTGTGATGCATGCACTTTTGAGTGATAGAAATAGCAAAGATGCTGTGTTCATTTGGTTAAGACTCTTTTGAGTCATCTTCATGCCAAGGCAATGACCTTGATTTTAAGAAATGTTCTTGCAGCTGTAAGAGAGTGTTGGGGGCTGGGGAGTGTTTCACAAAGACTAAGATCAACTTTAAGTTGTACTTAACTATGGCAGGCCGTTCATGCCACTAGTTCCTCTAACCATTCCTGGCATTGGTTTCTCAAGGGACGTACAAATCTACAGAATTTACATTTTGTTGATATATGGAAAATATATTGTCTAGATATTATAATTGAGAGAACAATTGAAAGAGCAACCAGCGTCATGAATGGCCTGCCATAGTTAAGTCCAACTTAAAGTCGATCTCAGTCTTTGGGAAACACTCCACAGGCCTTGAACAAGTATTTGAATACATGTAACTCACATACAATGTACATGGAAGATCCAAGAAAAATCAAAAGATCATTTTCTTGTACATACTTGAGCAGTGAATGCAATCTAAAAGAGATTTACTTGGCTGTGTAATTTAGTTCAATATGAAATATTAAGAAAGATCAAATATTTAAATTTGACTGGAGAAGTTTTTTCAAAAAATCAATAATCAAACTAAATTGTATGATTAATCTTGTCAATCACGTTTTGAATGTGCATTTATATTGATCATAAATTGTTAAATTGAATAGTTCCTTCCCATCCATTCTAAAGAACAAATACTGCATACAGTATTTAAACAGCTGCTTTGACCTACATGTTCAGTACATTGTACACAGCAATAAACGTGTGAACCATTCCCAAACGAATGAGATGTTCTAGCGCTTAGACTTCAGTGGTAAGCGCTTTAAGTGGACTTCAGTGGTAAGCGCTTTATTAGCACTGTTTTTATTATCAAAATAAAGCTATTTCTTAAAACAGAACGGACTGCTGTTCTTAAGCTTCTTAATACCCCCAATGATAAATTGTCCATACACTGGCACCTACATGTACATTACTCGCATAACTGCAAATCAAAACATACATGTACTGTTACAGGTTTAGGAGTCAGTACAGAAGGGGGATAATTTGAGCATCCTCCATTCTAATCCTGTACTGTACGTCTCACTCAGCAACCGCATAAATATGGCTTCCTCTGATATCTGCCAAGATTTGGGTGCTAGGAAACAGTTGCCAAGCAACAGGATAACATACAAATTCAAGGAGATTGAAGCCCTAAAAGATACCCCAAAAATATATATATATATATATATATATATATATATATATATATTGAATACATGTATGTAGATTTTAATGCAGATGTACATGTACATGTAAGTGGTAAAAATCCTAAATAAGGCTTTAATGACAAACAATTATTTGTTTTCAATATTGTGTGATTCTTGAATACATGTAGCTTATTACAAAATGATGTACAAACTACATGTACTGTATTTACAATAGGATAAAAATTCAAACAGGTTTAATGGTAAATGATAATATTGATAAGTAAATGTCTAAATGACAATTTGACAGACATAAAGTTTCTAAATCTTAAGCAATGTTCAGGCTGCATTGAATAGAATTAAACAGAATTATAATATTGCTAAATAATTGACAATTTGACAGACTTTTAAAGTTTCTAAATCTAAAGCAATATTCAGGCTAATTGACTTGACTTGAATTGAATTAAACTGAATTCCAATTTATCAAAGAAACTCATTTTTGTTTTTGTTAGACTGAACAAATAAGAATTCTTACCATCATGGTCAAAGTCTATCTCATGGTCGTCCAAAGAACCTCCAGACCCTGCCATGGTTTGCTATTCATCTTCTCAGAGCGAGCTAAAGAGATGGAAAGAAAATGCCTGTAAACAACAACAACTACAACAACAATACACTATATTTGATAAACAGCCATGTGAATAAAAACTCTCCCTTTCTTGACTTTTACAATTTTGTACATACTGTATACATGTACCTGCCAGCCATGCAGCAAAAGTAGGAAATCTCTCAAGGAATAAAAAGAATACATTGTGTTTTATATGGTTTCATACAAACCATCAAGCATTATCCAAAAAGATCGAGACAGGAAGCGAGGGTGCATGAAATTACTTTGAAGGCCTCAAAATTAGGAATCAATCCTCGAAAATAAGAATGGTTGGCAGCTTTGATAATGTGTGAGCTACAATAACTGTTGTGCACTTTATTTGGAATCAATTTCATTTAAACTAAATAGAAACTATTTCCTATTGATTAATGTACATGTACAGTGTACATGTCTAAAATAGTATCCAAAATGTAAAAAAACATATAGTCACATACTCTAAGTCATGGTTTGATATATTCTTTGATATGTACATGTATAATGTACAGAGAAGGAGGCATATACTGTACAATGTAGTTAGGAACTAAATTATTCATACCATTACCAAGTTATGCCATTTTTAGGCATGTGAAAAATTGATTTGTCCAAATTGATGTTTCTTGAGAGTGTGGCATATCAAAGCTTACATAAAAAAGTATTCAACAACGGCCCCAAGTTAGCCAGTCCACCTTTCATTCTTGAGTTACAGTGTAAGAGAAGTAGAAAGAAGAAAAAAAAGGGGGGGGGGGGAATCAAATTTACAAGGGGTATAAATTATTTAGTTGTTAAATGGTGTACATTGTAAATATATTTAATAGTCGTTATGAAGCATGCAACTGGCTGCTTTCATCACTTGGATGTTAGATAAAAATAGTGCATAAACATGTAGGCCTACCTGCAAACGTAAATTGTATGTTTAATGAAAGAAAATGAATAAAAATTAAGATATGAAGATGAGATGTCATTCTTATTCAAAGATTACTTAAAGAGAAAGAGAGAGAGAGAGAGAGAGAGAGAAAGAGAGAGATCTTTTTGTAAATCTTTTTGTAGCTATTTTCCATATCTTTGTCCGACTCTGTTGATCAATAGATGATGAAAAATGAAAAATCCCCTGCTTTCTGCATGCATATATTCACAGTACTGCACTGCATTGCATGATGTTGCGAGAAGCAGGGGGGTACACGTAATGAGTATCCCCAGAGGCTTGTAGTTTAATTGAGAGAAATTGGAGGGACTGAATCTTATTACCATTCTGGCTTCTACATGTACATGTGTAGGTATCAGATTCAGTACCTGCAACAGTGATATGTCCTTTGTCTATTCCCATATGGTCTACACCCAGCCCGTCTATAACTATCCACATACATGTAGTCTAATTATCATTTTTGTCTACTACCCATTTGGTTTATCATTTATTTAGTCTAATAACCAGTTAGTCAATTCCCAGTTTGTCTAATGTCCATTTCGTCTACCACCAATATTAAAGGTCAAATAATTATTTGGTGATTATTATCATTATTATTATTTAAAGGGAGGCTTTACTACTCCACCAGAAGGGATTAGACCACACAGCGAGTCAGCGAGGTCACTGTGACAGGTGGCTATCTCATTAACTCAGCTCTCAGTTAACATAAGAAAAAGAGGATCATGGGGGACCAACAGGCACCGATTGGGGAAGTTTTCTATATAGAGGGAGCAAGTAGCTACAAGTAGGACAGTGTGCCTTTAAGATTTGAAGACCATATGGATAATAGACAAAATGGGCAATAGACGGATTGGAATTAGACTAAATGAGTAAATGGACCAAATTAGTAGTTAAACTTATTGGAGATTAGACCAAATGAAATTAGCACCAATAAATATGAGCCTAAATGGTCATTAGACGAAATGATTATTTGACAAAAAGATTATTAGATCACGTGGATAGTGTAGACGGGCTAGGTGTTCACGGTAGACCATGGGATTAAACTAATTGGGTAGAAGCCGAACTGGGTGTAGACCAAGGGTATGTTTATGCTTAGCTTTTTCCGGCCAGAATGAGGCATTTGTTACGCGTTTAGTTCAAAACACGGTAGCATCCTTTCTCATTTTTGCAAACTCACAAAAAGGTGCGTTTTGGATCAGCAATTCTGCAAAATCAGCAATTCTGGGGAAGCAGAAACGCACAATCATTTAAACACATTTAAATGGGGTCAACGTAGCATGCGCAGTGCAGGTTTGCGAATCTAGCTGCAGACTATGCACTGCACTTCTCTGGCTCGTCCAGGTATGATTCTGGCTACATGTATGCCTGGAGGAGCCAGAGAAGTGAGCATAAACAGCAGCCTTTTCAAACATGGCTAAAATTCATCGTATCTAGAGATGATTAGTATAAACGTGTTTAACTCAACAGTTTTAAACATGTTTATAGAAAATTTTCCCAGTGTGAACATCGTTTATACGATGTTGGGATAGATACGAAGTCGCGATCCATACGCCCCTAAAAGCAGGCTGCAGATACGAAGTTCGTATCTAGAGAGCTTGACATTTTGTGTGTGAAAGGTTATTCGTGTTTAAACGTGTTTCAGACGTGTTTAAACTGGATGGAGCGTGTGCTTTGATTGATATGACATAACCTTCAATGCGCAATGGCACTACTGCGCATTTTACGAGCAGTAGTTAATCACGAAACGATTAACGATCGCACCAAAATTTCTGTGTGAAAGGTTCGTGATTAGTTTAAACATGTTTCAAACACGTTTATACTAATCATGTTTATAGAATTTTAGCTGTGTGTGAAAAGGCTGCAGTACACCGTGGAACTGCGATTACGATGAGCGTTTCAAATCGCTCATTCTACCTTCAAAATTGAGCATTAAACATACCCCAACAATAGACAATTGAACCCCTGCCACTTACCTTGCAAAAATGTATCTCTGTGGATGGCACAAAGCAATTTGTTCTTCCCTCATCCATCCTGCTTGGGGAGGGGGGGGGGGTGTGGATGTTAAAGATGATTTCCTTTGGAAGACATGGACAATCTTGGAAGTCAGTCTGATTTGTTCTTTGTTGTTTGTTCTTGTGGCTCATTCATTCATTCTGAAAAAGAAAATTTTATAAAAAAAAATTAAAAAGAAAAGACATTAAAAGGGTGGATAAGTAACAACACAAAACTTATTAAACATCTACAATGTTGCAAGAACATTATTTCTATTGATGCATTTTCTTTCCTATGGATATAAATACACATATTCTCCTCTCCAATCTGCATTTCCATTTTCCCTCCTTTAACCAAACCTGAGAACCTCATTGTTCATTAGAATCAAATCAAATCGTACATGATTACATACCGTATCGGTATACAGGAACCATTTAAGTACATGGTATAGCTGAGTATATCTCACATGGATCTCTTTATACTCTTCATATGACAGGATCCAAGAACATGTACTGTACATGTATCCTGAATATAGAGAATCATATAATTATTGCATCCTTATTACAGTAAATATGTAAGATAATATTAAAAGCCCCTTTTCTTTCTTTCTTTGTGCTCCAACGTGAGATACATACCAGCATTATTTCGGTGCCAGCTCAGTTTATCCGGAATGACAAGGTATTTTATATTACACTCCATTATCATCATATTGCCATTATGAAATCAGATACAAAATCTGCTGTCCAGAAAGGTGTCAAAATGTGTACATGAATAAAATAATAGTTTGAAACAACACTACAGTTACATCAATTTAGAATGTGACCAAATGCAAGTTGCTGAATGCCTAATTTAACAATGTATCCCTATATAGGAATGCAATTTACATTTTACCTACATGTACAGTGTAACATTAAAAATTGATTGACTGTTCACATCATTTACACCACTGAAATAAAGAAACATAGATATTAATATAGTACCCTCAATGCTCCCAAACATTAGGAGACCCCTTTTCTAGTGCTTTGTATATTAGCACCTCTCAGGCCACAGGCAAGAAGCCACATCATTAAAGAGAAAGGTGCAGAAAATCATATTTGCATGAGCTATTTTAGTAACACCGTAACGCGTCTGGTTCAACCGCATCTATCAGCTGCATGCATCAATGCTGCGAACGAGGGCCTGCTTCGCTCATCTTGTATCGTCTCTCGCTTTCTCTCTCCTCATGCAGCGTGACTGCTGCTTGGCCTAATGTGTCATTTTGTGCTTTGCTGACAGCATTAAGGCAATTCCCAGAGGCCAGAAGTTCCATATGGCACCATTTGGGAGCAGCGTTCATACTCCCTCTCTGTTTAAAGCCCCTTTATTCAAAATGATTCAGGATTTCAGGTCTGATAATGATACAGGAGCTCCAATTTTTTAATCTGGAGTTCTGGCTCCCAACATTTTAGAGATTATATATCACAGACAATAAAATATCTTCCAGACACCTTTACATGTTTATGTTTTGAAAGTCTGAAAAGGGAAGACCACCCTGATATAATCTTGGTTTTAATAAAAGCAGACAAATGAGAGAAACAAATTAGTAAAAGTTTGAGCAATATTCAATTAGATCTAGTGAAGTTACGGGTATGAATTTTAAAAGATGTCATCAGTGGAACACAAATGGGTAACACTGCGATGTACATGTACATGTATTTTGCGAGGGCTTCTCTGATTTGTTCTGAACAGAAAATGTTATCAACTTTCATTTTCTTAGTTATTGATGACAGAACAAATTTGTTTACCCTAATGCACTTTTAATACAGGGGTCGTATAAAAACAGATTTGTAATAATTGTATTACGTGTGTATTAAGGGTGAATATATGAACAACAATTTTCTGAAGGGAAAATACAAATATTTGAAGTTTGTTAGTACAGGGCAATTAGAAGGGGACCTCGTAAGATACATCACAGAGTTGCCAATTTGTGTTTGATTAATCGCTCCTTCAAATATTTATAACTTTCTTATTTTTCTGCTCCTATTAAAACCAAATTTAATATCGGGGTTGACTTCCCCTTTAAAACAAAGTGAAATACACAAATGGAAGACATTATTTCATATACAGTTTTAGACATGGAAAAACAGGAAAAGACAAGTAGTGATTGCGGAATTAAATTTGACCATCTGGAGAATGCAAACATGGGGTACGGTACAAAATGCAAACATACAACTGTACCGATGTACTTGATGTCGAACATGTCTAGTGCACCTCATAAATTATTGCTACCCTGGAGTGTACCTGAACGTCTTCCATGCATGAAGCAAGAGCAAGTCTTGACATCAATCATAAATTCATATTTGGACAGTGTGTTTTTCATCCCTAACATTCATCACTGCCTTCTTCAGCCATTTTGCTCAATCGTTGCCAGTTGGCCCTTGAGTACTGTACACTGTAGCTTGATTCTGGAGTATGAGATTATGAGGCAATAATTCCATTTAGACTCTTTTTATACCATGAGTTGCTTCTACTACTGTACATGTACATGTACATGTACATCCCGTCTTTTTTGAAAATGAATTGGTATCAGTTTTTATTAATTTAACTATCTAAATAAATTAATAAATTTATGATTGAATGGATGGATGAATAAATTGAACAAACAACCAAACAAACAAACAAACATAAACAAACAAATACATACATACATTAATAAATAAATAAAACTAAAACACTATTTCTAGAGATGAAGAAGACACATTTGCTTTTCGAGTAGTCCTTGTTTGTTTTTTGGTATAGAATCTCTTTGAAAGTTCATCTACATGTACACTGCAGCTGTTACGCGCGCTGCGTTTCAAGGAATAAACTCCTACCCGGTATTTACTTCACCTGGGTGGAGTGTGGTAAATGTAGATCAATGTCTTGACAAAGGACATTAGTGCAGCGGCGAGACTCGAACCGCGGACCTTGTGATCGACAGTCCGGCGACGTATCCACTCGACCACAACACCTCTACAACGTACATACTACATGTACAGTATGTTTGTTATTTTGAAGATTATTTTTTCTCTTTCAAAAGGAGTGGTGAATACACAAATGTAATGTACATGAACACCCCACCGTACCTACTCTTCTTGAGGGCAGTTGAACTTCTATCAATTCATCAGCTTATCTACAGTACATGTACATCTCGATATATTTGAACTTTTAAACTACATGTACATGTATGCCCTGACTCTGAATTAAGCCCAACTTTTGTACAATTATTGTAATTAAAGACTTTGGTACATGTACAAACACACTGTTTGCTTTTGTCATCATTAGGTGTGTTGAAGATGGGGAATAAAACCTCATCCCATGTTTTCACAGAGCAAACTCATTACAAGAAGATTAATCATTAGACAGCTTGTTAATGGTGCTTCATTACCGGTGAAAACATCATTACCGCTATGGCCTACTGTACATGTAAGGGATGATCAAGACTTGTCTTGTTTGGGCCTCGGGGGAAATAAAAATATCAAAGAAAAAGTCAAGTCAATTTGAGATATGAGAATGGCAAAGGAAAACTATTAAAACAAAATTGCTTACAGGTACACTGTACGTACATGTACTGTACATGAAATTTGAAAAGAGATACCTGTATTCAAAACTGCATACAATACGGTAGAAGAGTACTTGCCTTGCAAAATAATTGAAATAAATATGACTCATCTGAGCATTGTACAAGCACTAGTAAAAATCTGTACTCCATGCTAATATCAATTCCGTACACAAATTTGTATGAATAAATATATTATCTTCTGCCCTCCCCCCCCCCCCCCCCCCCCCCCCCCCCCCCAAAAAAAAAGAAGAAGATTGAAGCCACAATAAAGACAATACTCATTTTTGAGATGGGAGCGCAGGGTGGCTTCCTCTACAGGGAAAAAAAAAAACTACAGTGACTGTACACAAACATTGTCATACAATGAATTCTAGCCTCAGCCTCAGGAATCTCTTCAATTTCAACTAAATTAAACCAACTTGATTCTGAACATTGTAATAATAAGCAACTTGAATCCTTATTCTCAAGCCTATTCAGAAGGATGTACCTGGTAGCTTGCTAGCTGCCGCTCTTTTCAATAAAAACTCATTTGCAAAGTCTTTTCTTATTCAAATTAGAGGCCTGCACAAATGCCTCTAATCATGGACCTACTACGAATCTCCTTTGTGTGTCATCAGCAGGTTCTTCCTTTGAAGTGCATTGGAAGTGGCTTGTAGAGGGGGCATTATCTAGTGGGTGGGTTTAATCATGAGAAAGGGAATTTGTATTGTGTATCCCCAATAAAAGCAAATACTTGAAGAGATTAGACGTAAACACAATTTGGCCTCAAGGATAATGATACAAGGAAGAAGAATATTATTATTTATTAGTGAGCATCAGTACGGCATTAGTTCTATTTTAGGACAGGGAAACTGTTCACTGTACATGTACATGTACACTGTAGTCTAATGGGCCAACATTTGTATCCTTAAATACATGTTTCTTGTAGATGTCCTTTTATGAGCTAGGTTTGTACACTTAATGCCACATTTAACAGGTTTTACAATGGCATGGGTTTTATGGTTTTTCAAATAAAGTGAAATGTACATGTAAATGTACTAAAAATTAAAGTATTCATACTTCGCAGCATAAATTTGCATTAAAAATCCTCAGGCACCATATTAATGGGACCCTGGGAAAATGATCTCAAATTGCTTATACCCAGTCTTATCCCTTACTATTTAGTCAATTTCCACATTAGTACAGATATGATGTACAGTAGCTGCATGGCTTGCTAGAACAGCATACACACACAAGTACTGTACTTATTTCTTTGTTTGTTTGTTCTTGCCTGAAATAAACAATCAATGAATGATCTACTCACCTGCACATCGGAATGTGAATGTATGCATGTTCATGTACAGGTTCTTCTCATCGCTAAAGCAGGTAAATTAACAATGACGACATGGTCACAAATACATGTGTACAAGCTGCCATCATAAGACTCAAACACTTGGCAAAATATGGTTTTCAGACTAGAAATTCAAAAATACATAAGTTGACACTTGACTTCAACATTTTTCATGATCATAAATCACCACTGCTATGCAACACCTACATTTGTACGTTTACTTGAACTTTGCATTATGGGGGCATTGCCAG